CCCCTAGCCCAAACATTTGTTTTATGTTTGTATGTATGTATGTTTTATGTTTGTATGTACACATACATTAATGCAATTCCACTGATAAGTTTTGGAGTCCAACTGACATCCCTTATCCAGTTCTAGGAAACAGCAGGGGAATGTATCGCTTGTCAGTGAAAAACAACTTGCTAATCAAAGTTTCAAGTACAGCAGCTGTTAAAGCTCATCTTTTTGTAAACTGCTTAAATTTGTTTGAAAAAACTAGTCACAGGAAATGCCTTCAAGATTGATACATGCTGCCTTAGCACACAAGCCTCTGTCAAGGCAGAAATGAAGAAATAAAGGCACAGCACTCAAAGCTTACCCTATTTTGGTCGATAACATCCACGATGGCCACCAGCTTGCCAGCATGTGGCCCGAAGGAGATGTAGGCAACTCTGCCAATCTCCACGAAGCGCTTGAACACCTGGGAGAGCAGGCAGGGATCGACAGTTCAGACAAAACACACCTAAGGCCATTTACAGATTCCAGGCTCTCAGAGCCTTTAAAAGATCTTCCCAAAAGAATCACAGAATGGTTTGAGCTGGAAGGGACCTTAGAGATCATCTAGTTCCAACCCCCTGCCGTGCACAGGGACACCTTTCACTACACCAGGTTGTTCAGGGCGCCATCCAGCCTGGCCTTGAACATCGCCAGAGATGGGGCATCAAGAACTTCCCCGGGTAACCTGCTGCAGTGCCTCACCGCCCTCACAGTAAAGCATTTTTTTTAATATCCAATCTAAATCTACTCTCTTTCAGTTTGAACCCATTCCCCCCCCGCCCTATCACTCCATGCTGTTGTAAAGTCTTGCCCCATCAGTTCCCTTCAGGCACTGGAAAGCTTTCGAACAGCACGAAACCCCTTCGCCTGAGCAGAGGGTCGGGCGCGATCCTCCGCAGCCCTCCAGCCCGGCCCTCCGCTATTCCGGCAAACAGCGCTCCCACGCGTGGGTCCGGCCGCCGGCCCGGCGCGGCTGAAGGCGGCCGCGGAACTCCCCCACGTGCGCGCCGCCGCGGCCGGCGAAAGGGCGGGGCGGCAGGCGGGAGGCGTCCTGCGCGGGTATGGGTGGTGGGTATGGTCGGTGGGACCCGCGTGCCGCGGGGGGGCCCCCAAAAAAAGGAGGAAAAGCCGCCCCCCCGGGGGGCGGAAAAAAAAAAAAAGGGGGGCCGGCGGCCCAGCCCGGCCGGCGGAGCAGCGACCGCGTCCCACGTACCAAAATGATGCGGCGGCCGCGGGGCAGAGAGGGGCGCGGGCGGCCCCGCGGCGTCCGCCGGGAACCCGCCTCGGGCGCCGACAACTGGATATGTGTGCGCGTGCGCGGGCGGGCGGCTCGCGGGGACGCGGACGCGGGGGGGTGTGGCCGCTCCGGCGTGCGCATGCGCGGTAGCGTCCGGGCGGGTTGTGCCCCAGCTGAGCCCGTCCCTGTTCCCGTCGTTCCCCGTGGCTCCCTGCTCTCGTGAAAATCTAGTGGTGGAGCTTGATTTGGGGAGTACCACGAAGCCCAGGCTGGCGGAATTCTGAAGTAAATAGTGTCTCTCTCGTGTCTGTAATTATTGGCTTGTTGCACGCCAGGTAACGAATCCGATTTTGTGGGCAACACCTCCCTCATTTGCTCCTACATCATCCTTCGTATCCCATCCCTTTCATCCCTGGTGTTTGATTGCCCATGTCCCATCCCTCTTTATTCTACTCTTTCATCACCCACCTAATCCAACCCAGCTGTCCTTCCTGTGTTGCTCCTCCATCACCCTCCATCCCTTTCCTCCTGCCCATGCTCCATCATCCACCATATCCCATTCCTTCTCCTGTGTACCTCCTTCTTCTGTGTCCCACTGCTCTTTCTCCATTGTCCACCCATCCCATCCTTCCTTCCTGTGCTGTCACCACACCCGCTGACATGTGATGGCGGGCAGGGGGATGGTGTCCATGCAGGGTGTGTGGGGTGGGCGATGGGGACCAGGGGCTGCCCAGGGCCAGTCCTGCTCTCCTGAATCCAGCAAGCCGCAGTTCCTTACGAGTTCAGAGTGAAGGACAGCCTGAGTGTTGTCCAGGATTTCCACCACGATTTCCTTGCTGAGAACATGGATTCTAGAGATAATGAGCCCTGTCCACTCCAGAATCTTTCAGGATCAGTTTTGCAGCCTGCTGTGGACCACAGGCACGGGAACAGGTTTGGTGTCCCAAGGGCAGGACGACACTCAGGAAGGAGAGTGCATCCTGTGCTGTGGCTAGGATGGGGAGCAGCAGCTGATGGCTCTCCAAAGAAAGTTGTCAGAGCACAAACAATGCCCTCTGAGACAAACTGTTAAAAATACACATTTCTCCAAAAGGCAGAAAACACTCTAATGAGGGGAAAAGCAGAGACTACGCTGAGATTGTGCATGGGTTTTCGTATTGCAGCGAGGAAGCAGCCATGAATTTGAAAGAGCAGCTTGGCAGAACACAAGGCAGTACTCCAGATACAGCAAAACAAACACAAAATGGGCTTGGGAGGGAGACAGGAGCTGCACATGTTCAGAACAAACTTCTGGAGAGGGCAAAACCAGCATTATAACTCAGCTTAGTGGGTGATGCCACCTGATGGTGAAAAGTAGGTTTAAAGACACACAAACAAACAAAAGGAAAGTTTAATTAACTCAGCCTTAAGTGCAGGACAGTACAGGGACAGGGAGCACTCCTCGTGCAGAAGTCGAGCACCTGAGCTGTGTTGTTAGTGGAGCCACAGTTCCTGCCATGTGTGGCAGAAGGCACTGCACTGACACTGGTGTCACACTGATGTCACACTGCTGCCAGAAGAATGTGTTTGTTCTGTTCTTGGAATGCCATGTAAGAGCTCATGAGACAAGGGCAGGACTGCTCTTGTTTTGTTTTTCAGCACCTATTGCCACATTACTCTCCAGTACTACTTAAGAGGAAGGAAGGGAGGTTGCCTAAATTCCTGGTTGTTCTAATGACTTTTGCCATAAAACAGTGGCACAGGTACTCAAACATCACTAGGGACTGCACTGATAACTTAGTGAACATGAGGGCTGCATTTGTCCTACATCATATAACTTGCACGCAAAAGCATCTCTGCATCTGTTAAGATCATAAATGACTCAAACAGTCATCATAAAAAACCACCAAACTCAAGCTGTTTCTTAACATCAAACAGTCCAGGACTTAAAGCTTAAAAACATTTTCTCCCATGACTTTTAAAAACATACACTAACCTGTACAAATGTTGCTGAACAAGTAAACAGATATGGCCTTCCTCTTCCTACACAGAAGAACACTCATAACTGAAGTATAACTAAGCACTTTTGGTGATAAACAGTCTTGTCATCCCAGTGAACATTCCTTTTTAAATTCAGTTATTACAGGAATGATTTAAGCCATCCAGATTGGGGAATGACTATTATACTCAGTGTTAATTTTCTGTCCTCTCAGCTGACTTTATAAGCGCTGAATCATGCTTGCTTCTGCCAGGTTTGCATACTGCTGTACAAGAAGTTTTGTCACTTTTCACAAATATCCATATGCATTTCATTTCTCATGTCTTGCTTCTGGCAGATTAAGTTCTTGCTGCCTCTCCATAGGTGAGGTTTTGCATATTACATAATCTTATCCCTGTTTCCAGTGCCCAACAGTTATTTTTCTAACCAATCTGTATCTCAATCAACTGTTCTTTGATAACTGGGAATTGCTGCTTCACATGGCAACGAACCTAAAAAAAGCCTTAGAAAGCACTGGTGTCCCTGAGCGAAATGTATGAGTGTTTAAAAGCAGAAGTTGTGTTTAGGGTGTGTATATATATATAAAGTATTAAAAGAGGGGCTTGGTTTTAACCACCAGGATTTCCTTGCTGAGAACATGGATTCTGGAGATAATGAGTCCTGTCCATTCCAGAATCTTGCAGGACCAGTTTTGCAGCTTGCAAATTTCCACACCACCCCCTCCCACACCATTTCAGAGATTTCCTAACCCTCTATTAAGAACAGTTTATCTACCAGAATGAAAATATTGATACTAGAGAAAAAAACCAATACAAATCAAAAAGTACACTTGGCTTAACTTTTCACAATTTATTTTTATTAATCTTCATAAGCAGGCAGTAAAGAGTATAAAAAGATAAATAATTTATGGTCTGTACACATTCCCAAGTACTGTTAACTTCTCTGTCTCTCCCAGAGACCTGGTCAGTTCTCGATGGCAGGACAATATTACACCTGCTGATCTGGTTCCAACTCACCCGTGTGGCAAGAGTTAGCTGTGGTCACTGAGGCCTACCTGACTGAAGTTCAACAGTTTCAGCTTACCTCTCCTATCATTTTCAGCTGGGAAAGATGGATAAGGTGGGTATCCTGGTGACACATGAGGGAGACTATACACATAAGGAGAAGAGGGAACTACTATAAAAGCAAAACAGGAGATTCATGGAGGGAAGGCATTCTTTGAACAGATACTGGGTCTATTCCAGTATATGTAGAAGTCCAAATGATTTTTGACCAAATTTACTTGTTCTTTAGCTGCCAGCTCTAAACAGACTAACTTCCAAGAGTGTTTCACTTATGTAAAACCACATCTGAATGTCCTTGCCATTCACAAAGCAAAAGTTTTGTAGAGCAAGTAAATATTTCAGAATACCGTTTTTTAGCAAAAATTTGGCAACTGCAGAAAACATTTTAATGCTCTCATCCAACTGTCTGTTTTTTATTTTTACCCTCTAGCTGCAGTTACAAATCCATAATACAGAAGATAAAGCCTTTATCTCATGCCAGCCTCTGTAATGTCCTTGCATTGTGAAGTAAATTTTATACTTTATAAGATGTAACTCTGATGCCACAGAGCACTTCATCATCTTATAATACCTTCTGCCTTATTTTAAATACTATTACTCCAGTAACTGGACTCACAGGACTTCGCAGTATACCAATAAAGAAGGGACAAAGCCTTCACTAATGATCCACTTGAAAAATCACTTTCTTCTTTTTTCCATTTAAAAGATATTTAGTTCCCTTCAAATCATCTGTCAGCCTATGAAAAAACCCCAAAAGAAAACAAAACCCCAACCCCACAATCACGTAAGTAAGAAGGTGATACAGAAACAGAAGACAGAAATTGAAAACATAATTCATGGGTAAAAATACTGGCCACTGTTCTTCTATCTCACAATCAATATGGAGAATAGATGAAACTGAGATAGAAAACACATTATGTGCCAACCCAAACCATTATATGGTTCTGTTCCCCTTGCAGCTTCACAGACCATGTTATGGCAATATTAAACGGAATTAAAGAAACAGTGTACAAAAGGAAGAGATGGCAGAGAATGTGACAGGAGACTTTCTCAAGGGTTACTTCAGAAGCCAGCTGAAGACCACCAAGGCTCTACAAACGACAGGCAGGTAAAAGACCAAGAAGAATTAATCAAGCAGTGAGTAAAACTGTAGTTTTATGATTTAGTGGATATTGTCGTCAAGAATGCCTGGGCTTTCCAGGAAGCCAGCTGTTTGATGTATGAAGGCAGCAGCACTTCTAGAAAAGCTCTGAAGTTAATATGTTTGGCAGAACCATCTGCTAGGTGGACCCCAATGCTGCTAGAGGAATGCTGAGGCCAGGACAGTAGACGGCCTGACCAAGGCACTACAGCCATGACTGCAGCTTCAGAAACGTGTTCCTAAATCCACTACAGAAAAGGTGTTCTGCTGGCTTGCAGAGTGGCTCCTGTTTGTCTTGGCCTTGAATGAGGGGCTTAACATGTTAATGCTTTGGAAGGTTCCAGATCTGACACTCTATCCAGACAGCTGAAATAATACGTACATGACAAATCAGTATGGACTGCGACTGTCTGAGACAGACAATATGTGAGGAATACAGGTCAATGTTTCAGTATGAGATCATACCAAAAGTATTTCTGTGAAAGTCAGAGAGAAAAGGACAATGAAAACTCCAGTGGCTTCTGGAAGTAACTATGAGACATTTAAATTTAGGTTCAGTTACTAAAGCATGAAAGCATTTTGTTCCACCTTCAAAGCAAATCTTATGTACAATAGCAAAGGTATTCTGGTGGTGGGGATCAATCTGTTTGGAACAGCAATAAAAACAATTCTATCACAGTTGTTCCTTTCAATTCTTGTCATTATCCAGTGCTTGTTCCAGTTTCAGAAATTAGATTACTTCAGGGCTTTTAGTGTCAGCACTGCACAAAAGAACAGCTACCATGTTACCACCTCCTACAATTTCTACTGACTTAATTTTATCTTAAACAACTGACGCTGTGATAAAATCCATCACCACTTGACTTTACCAGTTAGCACAGAGTTAATGAACAAAAAAATAATACATACCTGGCAGCAAAAGGCTAGTAATCCCTTATAAAGCAAAGTGACACATCTGCCCACTTTTTCTCTGCTGCACACCGGACAAATTAGGTTTACAGAAACAATTGCCAAAATACTTCAAAAGCACTTCAGTTCACCATATCACAGATTCCTTTGTGTCTCTTCTCTATTTATGCTTCTGGCCCTGAAGCCGTTTTTCTTGTCTTTATTTTTGAAAAATGGAGGGCAAAATGAAGTCCTACTTAACTTAATAGCACTGTAAAATTTTTGCTTTGCATTCAGTAAAGTTCATTCATTCTGGGATAAACACATGCTCAACACGAGTGATGTTCTTCCGATTATGTGATACAAAACACAAGTAAACAAGGAAGAGGAGACACAACAGTGCGGTAGCTGTGAGGAAGATGAGGAGCCCAGCAAACAAAGGAGGCTTCAGGGGTAATTGGATCAGCTTGCCTTCTGCTGGAATCATGTTCGTGAGGCTTAACATGTAACCAAGTGACCATGCTATGCTGCTGTTACCAACCTGAAATAAAGACAGAAGAGTCCTATTCCCATGGAATTTTCAGTTAAAGAAAAGAGGTTCCAAAAGCTCAACTGCTGATACTGGCAACCGCCCCTTAAATTAGCAAGGAGAAATCTTTAGTGGAATATACAAAGAAGATACAGAACCATTTTAAATTACCCTTTTTTTGTAGTTCCAGAGGATGATAATAAAATTGGTCACTGGGCTAAAGAAGGTACCGGATGGGTATAAAGATGTGTGGTATATATGCAGACAGCCAATTATGGGATTTTATGTGCAAGAAACATTCTTTAAACAGACAAACAAAAAAATCAGCATTACTGTGCCAATTCCTAAAATTAGCACCTCACCTTAGCCACATCCTAGGATATAATTTAGTTCAAGCAAACAAAAAACATCACAAAGAGTCCCACTAACACAGACAAAGAGGAGGCCAGGGTGAAGTCCCCAAAGCAGGAACTTTTTACTATTTTTTGTTCTATAGTTGGTTTTGTGCCTACGAATGAACCAACACTAGGCATTTCCATTTAATAAATAAACATAAGTGAAAAACTACTTCAGAACAGGTGAAACAACAGCAAAGGGAGTATGTTTTTATTGGTCCCATGGTCCTCCTGCTTTGCTATCTTTCCCCACTTCTAATTTGAGCAACAGAGTTTACCAATTTTCCACTGTGCTTTTCATTAAGTCATCATCCTGCCACTTGATAAGTACAGGATCAAGGGGCAAACATAAAGTGTCCCCTGTCCTCCTCCCACATGCCCAGGCTTCAATAATGGTTAGCCTATTTATATAAAAGACATAAATACATCTCACTGCCTCCTACAAATCAAACCACAACTTAAAAATAAAAACAACCCAACCCTCCTAAAAAACTACTGTTAAATAGAGTCAAAAAAAAAGGGGGATCAGGAAGCATTTAAAGAAAATGTGGTGGAACTCACTAAACAAGGGCTAGCCTGGAGAGCCAGCTACAAGACACATATTTGGTTTACACTTAACAGAGGTTGTTTTCCTTTTCAAAGGGCTTGCACCACCTTTAAAGCTGTCAGCTACTGGTTGTAGGAGACCATAAGGGCCTAGAATATTTGGTCTTTTTTGTAGCTGTGTATATCCCAATATCTATTGTCTAACTGATAAAAAGAAAGCTACAGCAACAGGAACTGGAACACAACACATGAGCAAAGAGGTCAGATGGATCAAGGTGGTTTTTCATTGCTGAGAGAGGGGAAAAACTCTCATCATGAAGTTTAGAACTTTTAACTTTTACAAATCATCTAGCTCTAGATCTCACCCAAATTCCGGCATTAGGTTAAGGTTCTTTTCATTAGTTGTTTTCACTAATTAAAAGGAAATATATTCCTAGCATAGTCTTAGAGAGACTGTGCTGTAACTCTGGGGTAGCTTAGCTGATCAGCTAATATTAGATCTTACTATTTTAGTAGGGGCAGATCTAATTAAGAGAATGTAGTTTTTCCGTTTGGGGTGTCATGATACCCCTAGTGATAAATCTAGGCAACACAGGTATTCATTTTTAAAAAGCCTTTGGGGGTTTTATTTGCTCAATATTCTTACAGTCTTGGCTAAATACTGAAAAATGCTGCTGTGTTTGGCTGCTCCTATCTGCTGGGGACAATACAATATACCTTTAAATATTAAAACAAATCCACCCACCCCACCCCCAGTCCAGATTAACATCTCAAAGTAAGATCTATGCTGTTTTCCTGGTAGAACAGCTAAACTTTGGAAGCTCCTCCAGGGCTCCTAATGGTTGTCCACCAGCGGTCAAAACAAGGCAAGAAAATCCTACTTGATTCCTTACTGCACGAGTGATAGATATGACTGTTCAGAAAACATTGCTTTTGATTTCTCATTCACAGCTTGCCAGTATCTGCTATAGTAAAGAACAGGCCACAAAGATCTACAACCTGTTCTTTTGGTGGTTTTGCATGCGAGTGCTGAAGCATTTCCAAACTATATGGACAATAAGAGACAGTCTCAAATAGAGTTTTAGAATAAGTGCAGTAGCAGAGAGGAAAGGAAATGCATCTATCACACAAATATTGTAAGCCTTCTCTCTCTGTTAGCTGAAAGGCAATACCCTATCAAAATGCATTCTTATTTCAGAGAACCAGACTATGGCACAGATGGATGAGCCAGTTGAGGATGAAAACTGTCCTAGTTGCTTCAGCACTACTCACTGACTACAGACCCGCTTTGCCAGTTCCCCCAAGGCTCTGCTAGCAGACAGAAAAGCGGAGTTCTCCTGTCCAGCTCAGCAGAGTTAGCTCAAACTGACCTTGACTGATGACGTGTTTTAGGTACATCACTGCCTAGGCATTTGTTGAAGTACAACAAACTGGGGAAATGTGTTTAAAACACAAGTGTTTGATCTTTGCTTAAAGCTATTTTAAGAATCTAGGTACCATCTCCAAGTAATGCTGTGACCCCTGGAACCAGACTGAAATTGATGCTGAGGCTTGAAAAGTGGCTTTGTCTTATGCCAAATATTTGACAGTCAATTAGAAAGACTGTTTATGACCATTTTATTTTTCTAGGCTGCATCTTCTGTCTCCTTCTAAACTTCTTTGCACTAAAATAACAGTAAGAGAAAATGTATATTACTCACCTGCTTTTGAAAATGTATCTGTGGCCAAGTTTCTGCATTAAAGTTGTAAGCATGTACAAGCAAGTAATAAATGAAATTTGCTGAGAAACAGTAGGATCTAGCATATATTTCTTCAAATTTAGGCAGCATAAACTGGAGCTGAAACCAAAGGTTTTTCAAAAAACATGTAGATTATGAAAAAAACAAATGCTTTTAGATTTTGTAACTAGAGAATATTTGGATTCCAATTAGAATTCAGTAGCATTTTTTAGAAACCCCAAGTAAAGGTACAGACAACTAGATATGGAGATTCAGAAAGCCTCTAATAGTCACACAGCTTATGTAGCAAGCAATGAAAATAAACATCAAACTGCACATTGAAGATTGAGGATGTTATGGTTTTTAAATTTTGCATGCCATCTCTACAGCATTGTTAAAACTGTGAAATGAAATTTTGAAACCTAGTCCAAGTGATAAGCATGACAGAAATACTACGTGGTTCAAAGCACAATGGAAAAACAAATGCTGAGGTTGGTACAGACCCTCTGAAAGGTTCTGAATGCTTGTCCAGTCCATGTTATTTTTATATCCCTCCTTTACAGATTTAAAAAGGAAAAGAAAAACCCCAAGAACCCCAAAGAACAAACAAATAACCCACTTACCTGTGTCCAGCTCTGTGAACAGAAAAACCACATACTTGAATTGAAGTCATCCAGGGAAAAGTGCCCAGATAAATTCAAAGCATTAATTGTATAGTAGAATCCAGAGAAAGCCTATAAAAAGGGAGTAGATGATAGGTTACTTTCAGAACTACAGAAATCAAAAGCAATAAAGCTCAAAAAGAAATGCTGTGTTTGCAAACCTACCACAAAATTCCCTTTAGCTTTTGGCTGATGCATTCCATTAAAAGGACAGTCTTCTCTGTCTCTGCAAGCAGTGGAGTTAAACAATAAAGAAACCATCTCACGGCACAGACCTGGGTCTCCTGTTCCATGGAAATTCACAGGCTGGTTTGGGTAGTAATTTGCTGGTCTCAGAGATTGTGTACAAAGGCTGCCAGAGAAGTACTTCATCGTTAATGATGTATTATAATTTTGAGGGTAACATGGATTATCCACACTGGAACTGGCATTTGATTTCTGGGGGGAAAAAAAACCAAAACCACAAGAAACCCCAAACAATAATGACTACTAAAAAGCAAGAAACCTAATTTGACATTAACTAATCCTTTAAAACTGCATATGCATGTATTTTTGTTCACTGTCATGACTAGTCAGTACAACACTGATGATCACTGTAATTCATAGAAACTCCTTTCTCAAAAATTCATTGCCAAGATCAGCAAAACACTTACAGGCCTTTTTGTCAAATGGTATAGAACTCTCACCAATTTTTAACAAATATGAAGACCTTTGTATGAAATCTAAGTGTATTTGTCCACAACAAAGCACAACAGAGCTCTTACTGGGGTCTCCAAATGCCATCAAAGGAAAGAGAACACAAGCCTAAGAACCTGCTCAGACAATTACTGAACACCTGCAAGAGCAACATAGCAAAGGGTCTTAAACTGACCTGGAGCAGCAATGCTAAAAGCCTTTTCTCAGCTTCATCTCTCCCATAGCATTGGTAGCTGTGAGTGTAGACATTGTAGTTATAACCATACAACTTCACTTGCAAAGTGCTGTTGAAGTGCTCCTGAGAGTCCTCTGGGATAAATGAAATTTGAGTAGAAGCTCCTCCAAGATCCAGTGCACCCACAGTTTCTTTTGTGTAAGGATGGATCCATGTTCTCCAAAGATTTCTCTACGTGTAAATTTAAAACCAAGACAAATTAGAAATGTCATCTCCTGTCCTCCCTTCAAGCTTTTCTACTCTTTACTTAACTTTTTGAGATTTCCCCGTCTTTGTCCTGCACCCTTTCCAAAAAATCATAGCTCTCTGAGGAAAACATGCAGATGTTTTTACACAAGAGGGATGTACTTTCACAGAATGAAATGGTCTTGAAAGATGGAAAAAGGAATGCAACATATAGTTTAACTCAACAGGACAGCACAATGATCAAAGCATAGAACTAGCCAGATCAATGTTTATCCTAGAATGTAGGGATTTGAAGTTCAGATACCCATGAGATCTTGAACAAATCTGGGTGGAAATAGTATGCAGATTTGCTTGTTTCAAGGTAAGAAGAAATATTAAAGGACTAGAATATTAAGAGATCACATAGAAGAAGAGTGAAAATAAAGTGCAAAAACACAGACAAGTCAAATGAAAGCTCCATCAAAGCTAAAAGAATGAGGACCCCTAATCTGCATATTTCCTTCACTGAAACTGCAGTGGCAACAAATCTGATCCATTCATCTGGCATTTCTCCCTATTGCCCAAAACATTTCCCAAGTTCTGTATTTGATAGTCACAGTGCCAAATATAGACTTAATGTAGTATTACTCACTGAGCATGATGAGATGAATGTATAGGCAAGAAGAGAAAAGAAAGTTTATAGGCTAGCAAATATACTCACAATAAAATTCTACAGTGAAAGATTCCCATAAACAGCCCCTAGCAGAACTTGACTTAGCTCATTGTCACAAGAAAGGTGAAATTTTCTCTCTCTGCTAATGATATTCCACACATAGCTCTTCACACAGCTCTCTAGACTAAACTGGTTTCACAGCTTTTTGCAGTCCATTCAGTAGTCCTAATGAATTTGCTATAGGAAATTTGACATTTGGATTATTAAAATTCATGTGGTAGAAGACTGACACCACCCTGGAGTTCATGATGCCATTTTTGCTGCACGAAATGCACACGAGAAAAACGCTTCCAGAATGTGTGATTCCAGTACTGTTTCTCTTAACTTTGCAAGTCAGCAACACATTCACCGTGAGCTATCACTCACAGCACCAACAAGTAATTCCTGCTTATTTAATGGCCATGATCTAATAGGAGCCATTCAACCAGGACAGCTTAACAACAGTCAGCAGTTTGGTTGAAATTTCTTTCAGCCTAGCAAGGCAATCTGGAATAAGTGCAGTTAAAGCTAAGGGCAGCACACTCCTGCCAGGAATGCAGATGAGCAGTTGCTGATCAAATTGGTACAGCTTTTACTCTGAATGAAATTATACTGAATATCTGCATATAAAAAGGGATCTTCCAACACATTCGACTACCTCCCAGCTATGAGGCTGCTGCCTGGCCCTATTCCAAGTTCAAGGGCAGCTTAAGTATCTTTATATTGGTATCACTTGGTCTGTACAAGACAGTTGGTATCACAGCCTGCTGCTCCATAGCCTGCAGCTTTTCAGCAGTATTGGAATGAACTCTGTATGCATGATTTCTGGCTCAGCTGAGGCACATTTGGTCACATCAACTTAACCACCTTCACTGCTTCAAACCGTCTTGTCTGCTTAAGACAAGTAAGCCAACACTTCCAAACAATTTGAAGACCCCCTAAGCTGTGCACGTCCTTCACCAGTAGGGCTGCAAGGACAACAAACACCCAAGGAAGTCACGGAAAAGCAGAAGAGAACATGTTTAGCTGGCACCATTGTCAAGACAATCAACACCCATCACACTTAACATACCAATGCATTTAAGGGCAATCTAACTTTTCATTTCTAGGTAAGGCATCCATTTAGGGAAGAGCTCTTTTTTGTGTGTCAACCATTTTACCTTTTCCATATCACATTCCTGTAACAACATAGTCTTTGATTTATGTTTGCTTTCTTCGATTACTGACACAAAAAGACTCTGTTAGAAATTTCCGTGCAAAAGAGAAATCACAACACTATGATGCTTTAACAAGCATGTCCTCTCAAACTTCTCATTTCTAAGAGAGAAAGAGTGAAAAGAAAAGCATGCATTTTTTTTCCACACACCTCTAAGAAATTGCCCATTAAATAGTTGGCCGTTATCCATCCATACACCCCTTCCTCTGGCCCAGTTATGATTTGCGCACCCCTAAATTCAAAAGGTTGTGCTCTGAAGTAGTTTTGAATGCTTGCAAGGACTTCATTGGCTGCCGATTCATTTTGCAACCTAAGCAATTCACAAAACACGAGACACTGAGCATCTGGAAAGGCAATTTCATGTTTACTGTTCACTGACTAGCAACTCAAGAAAACTCCTGTAATAACCTAGTAAAAAAAAAATACATTGTTTATCTAAAGGGGAAGTTTCTGATAGGGAACAGTCACGTATCCAGCATTTTTTCAGCAAGCAACTCCCCCACTATGTACAAACGTCACTCTTTATCATAGAAGTTCATGGGTGTTTTGTTTCTTATTTTTAATTTCTTTATTTTTAGTGAACTGAGTACTTTTATGACACCTGGTATTTGAAACAGTCCTGGAACCTTTCTTCCCAGAGAACAAATATAGAAAGCCAGTTTGTGCCAGGGCTAAAGCCAAGATCCACATCACATCACATCCACTCTCAGAAAACTCTGCAATGTCTAGCTTCAATCTGCCTTTGCTGCCCATGGATGCGCACAAACATTATCTGTTTACATAACAATGTATTTCAAAGCAGATGTGAAAGAGAAAATTGAACTCTTGCCTTCTCCAAAATAAAGCAAGCATTTCTTTTCAATGCAGCATAATAGAGGATTTTTATGCAGAGCCGCTTTCCCTATCAAAAAAGTTAATTAAATTAAATTGGCTGGGTTCCATTTCCTTTTGAGATGGTTAATTTCCAGTGGGTAAAAATGCATCCAGTACATTTTTCACATTCTGTTTTCACAAACTGCTATGCTAGTATGCATACAGAGGAGTTCAAGTTTCTGCCATACCTCAGCAGCCTCATGCCAGCTGTAGCCCCCAGATAAACAGAAGTGTTTTTATGCAGATGAGCTGGTATTCTCTCTTTGACTTTATTCAGACAGTCATCAAAGGGCTTGGCAAGAGCTCCAGGGCTACTCTCATAGCTGGATATACCAGGGCCTAAAACAGAACAAGTAGATTGATTTCATTTTGCTTTGCCAGCTACAAATTAGCCCAATTAGCAAACAGGTGTTAAGAGAAAGAGATTTCACCCTTCCATCCCAGAATTGCAAACAAGGGTAGGACAGCTGAAAACTAGGAGTGCTTACGGAATAAACAATGTAGTGACTATCTCAGCTGTGTGAGACAGAGAAGACACTTGCAAACTGCCTGCCTGTATTTCTGTGTGTGTGTGTGTGCATACACACCTATAGTACCATGAGTAAGATATACAGTATACCCACATAACAACACAATGACAGCAGTGCTATATTCATGAGGAAAATAGGTTTACTTGGGGCAGATGCTGTAGAAAATAGCATGTCAAATGGATGTAAAATTTCTCTGATCTGCTGAAGTATAGAAAATCCCTCCTTTCACAACCTAAGACAAGGATTTTCTAATCTGGTTTGTCACAACTGTCATGGACACCATGGCACCTCTAAAGCTCACTGCTCTCAACTGAAAATAAAATAAAAAAGCTTCTCTAAGGAATTGCTGGTGAAACTTCAAGATGCATAGAAATGGCTCTTGAATTCATAGAGGTACAAGTCTGCACTGGCATGAACTACTAAACAGCTTTACAAACTTCCAAAGTTTTCAAAAATGAATACTGAACAGCTTTCCAAATTTCCAAAGCCTTCAAAGAGCAGAAATGAGAGTTACACCACGCTGCATAAGGCATAACTATTTGAACAATTAACATCAAAGTCTTTCCTGCCTTGCTCAATATTCCAAGAACCAGCAGGATCTCAGCTTGTTCAGGCTCAACTTGGGTGTGAATAAAAACATTCCTTACTAAAATTCCCTGGCTGAGAAAGTTGTGCTGAGAGAAATCCTGGCATTCCCATGAAGCCATTGCCTCACAGAGAACAACTCTATCTGAACTCCATGTACTTCTCCTGTCACAGCCATCTCTTGCACAACCTGATCCCAAGCTAAGCAAAAGGTGGCTCTTACTGAGTTAAAATGAGAAACCATTTATGTTTAGTCACATTGCAGTGATAAAAACAGAGAAAAAAATTGTAAGACTTTACAGATTCCACACTCCACAACTCCCTTTTTGACACTATGAACTTAAACATTATCACGCAATCATTAGACATTCACAGCCCTGGTTTTGGAGTAAGACTTGCTAAAAGTCTTAAGTCTAGCACAAACAGGCCTGAGGCTGGATTAAAAGCTGTTACCAGAGGAAAACAGAGCAGCAAATGCTGTTTTAGATTCTCAGCAGCTGCTGTGGCCTCACACTTCCTTGGTAGCAGCAACTTCCATCTTCCAGTGTTCAGACAGAGCAGGTCATAAGGTAGTGACCATTTTGTTCTGGACTGCCTGCTTTGCCCATGCTTAGAGCCTTACTAGGACAGATCAACTGCACTATATAGAAAGGGGTTTGATACGGGGTTGGTTCCTACACACAGGGGTAGAGGTACCTAATAAAGGCAGAAATGAAATCACAAAACCACCACAGAACTTACAGACTAGCTGATCATTTGACCTTCAAAATTGAGTAGGTATAAAAAAAGTCTGCTTCTCAGTATGCCCACAACCATCCCCCAATTTAAGGCTACAGTTAGGTCACTAAAGAAACCCTGACAGATGTGTTCACCACTGTCACCCACAGATTAGCTGGGGACCTCTCGCATGAACCCTCTGCCTCTTCCAGTGCAGAGTTATCCAACACTAAAAGAGTAAACCCTGGTGATTTTGTACACTGGAAGATGAGGAGCACTTTGGTTGACCATGGTTAAGGCCATAGACTTAAACAGTTCACAGCAATTTGGACTCCTCCATTTTGCAATTTTTTGTATTCCCCTGAGGCAGAACAAAACCTAAACCAATTAAAACAAATTCACAAAGCACTCCTGTGTCATTTTTCATGAAAAAGAAAAATGCAGTTTCTCTGTTCATTTTGCTCACACCAGAATTCCTAAATGCAACATTTCTAATGAGACAAGACATGAACTAGCAGAATGTACCCCTCACCATTCCAGCAGTCTGTAAGGACACATCATCAGAGATGCAGCAGTGCATTACTTCTGTTCCTGTTACACTTGCTTTCCTTTCCTTGCTCAAAACCCACTAAGAATGTCCACACATATATTTAATGCTGAAGATGAAAATGTTGGTGCTGTTAAGAAACCATTGCCTTCTACTCCTAGTTACTCATGGGCCTCTATGGCTACATCTCCAGCATCTATTTCCAGACACAAAGAGGAATGCAAGATTTTGTGAGATCATGACTGAGACAGAAGGAAAAAATTCTCTCGGAATGCCACAGTTATTATCAGAGATCAAAAAAACTGCATTGAGGCTCCTAAAATGCCCCACCATCTCCTCTTACCTAACTTGCAAACCCAAATCAGTACACTAAACAAAGTCAGTGTCGTAAAAGGATAATCTAAAGCTCATTTAACTGAAAGTAGCATAATTTATAATGTTTGGCTTCCTGCAGAAATCCCTTATGGATTAGCTACTATTTAATAAGAGATTTCTCTCCCTTGCCTGGCCATCTGTCTTCACAAAATGTGTGGAATTTTCGTATCTTTGAAAGCTTACTCAAATGTCACTGAAGTTGACTAAGAGTTTCAAAAGCCGTTAGGAAGGAACCCACAACAAGCCATTAGAACTTATACTTAACCATACTGGAGCGGGAGCAAAAGTCAGCCTAGCCTGTCTGCAAGGAATCAATTCAAAACCTCAGATAAAAGACAAAGCAGGGAGCCAGTGGTACCTGTGGGACACCACCTAGCAGCACACAGCTACAGGACTCCCTGAGCAGAAGGCCAGACCTACATAATTGATACAATTGTCACAAACTGTTCTGCCAATTTAACTATTTTACTTGATAACTCTATTAGATAATTCCTAGTTCTGTAATATGGAGAAACTTAATTAATGACTAACATCCAACAAGGGCTAGATCCCCATTCTTCTCAAACACTTTTTATTCCAAGCTATTTTAAAATATACTTTTTACTCTTATTTTAAAGAAACACAAGGACTAAACATTTATAGGTCTTGATTCTCTGTAGGTTGAATTCTGTCTGCGCTGCTCGTGCACTGCAATGAAGTAAATCAAGTTCAGCTATAATTTCCTCTCTCTGTTACAACGATTAGAGCATCCTGCTCTATCAGTAGGAAAAGAACTAATGCTGACAGATACAGATATAGTCTTAACAGTTCTCACTCCCCAGCATTGAAAAGGGAACACAGGGGAAAAAGAAAAAAAAACAGTGTAAGTGAGGCTAGAAAAAAAATGAGGAACTTCCATTTGAGCTCACCTTTCACATTGCACTTGAAGGTCTGGGTTACTACTCCTGTGTCATTTTCTTTTTCTGCTGGCCATTCATAGACATAAACTGTAGTTCGAGAGGATCCAGCATCAAGGACTATTCCATACTGGAGAGAAAAAAAATAAGACATTAGATGAAGAAACAAACAGTGACAGTTTAAATGCCCATATGCAGCTGTACTTCATTGCACCACCAAACACTTTAGAAAATGCATGCACAGGGTATTATTTACAAGACAGATTAATTATAGTGTTAGGTGCTTAGGCGTGAATCCAACAGCCAAGCACAGAATGAATCTGGCTGCAAACCAAAGAACATGCTACATATCTTCAATAATTAATTCAGCAGGGATGGAGAATGCTCATCTCCTTTCAGCATCAGGTTCAAAATCCACATTGACACATAGATATCTTACACTGTGTTAGAACCTGATTTTGCAGGAAGTTCATTTCCCATTATCCCAGTCCATTCTCTGGAACACTGAAGGGTTTGATACCTAAGCACAGACTTTAGATTCAAGGATGCACAAGAGATCCATAAAGCTACAAGCAAAGAGGTAAAGTACACAACAGTCGACAGTAAGAATGATGTAACAAGCCTGCTTTTTTCTAATTGCCCCATAAGCCTCTCCCTTTGAGTGGTTTAGGCAGTCCCCCTTAGAGATTGCCTCTGAGAACAGGCAGTGGTAGAATGTGAGTCAACAAAGAGTAGAGAATTAATATTGCGCTGTGATTATTTATGAAATAAACCAGAAAGAGTTAAATTACTTGCCCCAGGTCTGCTGGACTCTTTGTGGGATTAAAGCACAGGTTTCTTCATCCCATCCCACTGCTCACCTGACCAGTCTTTCCCCCTTTCCCATATTTTATGGCAGCAGAAAACTGTAGCAGCTGGGAAGGCAATCTCATGAAGGAAAGAAAACTGAAATTTTGCTTAACCTCTTTATAATCCTTGATAGTATGTTAAGCTGCCCCTCTCTTCCAACGTCACCTAACTGGCAGGAGTCACACAGTGGAAAGTTCATTTCTCTGTTAGCCTTTTTTCTTTTAAAACAGACAGATGCCCAGGAGCCTGACAATACTGAAAAATGAGAGCCTCCGTCTGGCTGGAAAGCAGTAACAGCCCTGTAGTAGGCTGATAAATTTTATCCCACTGCCTCCCTCAGGAGCTTAAAGTCTGACAGAGAAAGACCACTGCTTTAGGTGGCAAACCATTCAGCTTCCACGCCTGATTAGTTCCCAGCCTCTACTGTAATCCTACAAACTCCAGGCCCCCAAACAATACTAGCAATACCAGTTTAGTTTGTTTCATGGGGAACTGTAAGGTAATGAAAATTTCATTTATGTTTATGCAGACAATATTTACCTTGATCCACCAAAAGATGAAAGGCTCCACAGATACTGTCAAACCACTACATGATCAGGTTCTGCTTCAGTAACTACTTTATCAAAAGATAATTTGAGCGGATTCCCCCTCCTTGCAAGAGAGATGAGCACTCTGAAGGTACATAACACAGTAATGGTCAATCTGCTCAAGGGCTATTAATTAAATCTAGTCTCTGTCAGCTCGAAGTGCCAACCATAAGCTTTTAACTTAGCTACTTTCAGAGCTAACTGTCATGCCCAGGTAGAGCTGGAAGATAATGGAATGGAATAGATTAGTCAGACAAAACAGAGAGATGACATTAACCCAGAAAAGTTTCATTGTTCTGTTTTCTAGTCCAGTAGAAGGAAGAAAGAAGAGGGGGAAAAATGACCTAAAGGAAAATGCTTTTTTATGGGGTTTACTGTTGCCTCATGTACCTCCAACACAGAGGTGACCATGCTGCCTACAGCATGAAGTAAATGCACCATCTTGCCTCTTGGGTTTGGCAGAACACTTTGACTACTCTACACACTTAACAGAAACTAAACAAAAGGCAAGGTAACAATAAACCAGACTTTGTGTCTCTAAAGGTGCACTCATACATCTCTTTTTTTTTTTTTTTTGGCTGCAGCTGGGCTGACTAAAGATACAATTACCTGTTCCACTGTGTACTGTTTGTCTTTCCCTTCCACGAGGGTACTCCTACTTGCAGAGCTACCACTGTGAGTGATAACTACCTACACTGTTTCTGGGGCAGTTTCGTGCTATTCACTCAACCAGTCTGGTTGTGGCCCAAACATACAAGGGATATTCATATGAATGGCTTTGCAAGGTACATCCTGAAGAGCAGTAATCCCAATACAGAAGCAACAAGACCCAGGATTAATCACCTCTTCAGCCTGAACACTACACCCATAGGAGGACGTAGAGATGCACAAAGCCTTAAAGCAGGCACAATTATGATGGCTCACCTGCCTTCCAATCACTTTGAAAACTGCCAAGAGAAGCTAACAAGCTAAATCAGTTACAGGAAAGATGGAGGCCACAGAAGTGGACTTATGCTAGAAGCACACTTCAATTCAGCTACATAGGCTTTAACAATTTTTAATCAAGTATAACATCCACAAACAAGGCATAATACTTCCTAAGAGCCAAAAGAGATGTGAAAAATTTAGATGTAGAAATTTAGGTGTAAAATGCCTGGAGAGGCAATTTAAAGAAAAATACGATAATAAAGGTGTGGGGTTTTTTTTCATGAGGACTCACAAAAAATCAGTAGACAAATTTTTTTTACCAGTACAAAGGTTCATTACACTCTGAGCTAGCTTCATTTACAATTCCAGTCTTCTCCACAAACTATGTCAGTAAGGATGTCTGTACTCTCTTCATCATTCTTCTGACTTCATGGTGTGTGTCAGTGAGTCATGAGTTCTTTCAGTGCCCCAGCCTCATGCACTTGGTCAGACCCTTCCTTCAGAAATCATTGGCTCAGTCTTCAGATAACCCAACCACCAAGGAACCAAAATATTTAATTTTGCAACACCACTTTAAAACATCAGTGGCATAGCAGGTAATTTACCTCTTGTGCCACAATGGACACTCTCAGCGTACATCCTGGGAAAGAGCTTGTATGCTACAGATAACACAGAGAGTTACCAAGAGAAGAACAAGGCCATTTACAAAGAGTAAGTCTGTTTACATCGTGTTGTTGCTGTATTTAATTTTAATCAACCACTAATGTCAGGACACTCCTATTTCCAGGCTCCATCGTATCAACCAGGTACTGGAGGGTTTCACACATACAAAGGTCCTCCCTCTGCTCCTGAAGAACTATTTCTTGTGAGTGTTAATCATCCACTGAGGACTACGCAGCGTCTCAAGAATCAAACACAGGGTCCTCCGTATCCCCTGCATTAGTAGGCTTAGAGCCCAAAACAAAATTCAAAGCCAAGGTACACCCGGTAGAGGAACCACCAGTCTTCCTCTAGAGCCAGCCATAAAGCTGTTGTGATACAGTAAGCAGACCTCTACTCCTAAACCAGCTCCAGCTAGTAAGGTGGTTCCAATGTTTCCTCAAAGAGTAATGTAAGCAGTTTTATCCTTCTGGGTGTGAAACTGAGTTAATGACAAACACAAGAGATGTGTAGGCTGTCTTTTAGACTGTGGCTTCAACCTTGTCCTTGCTTCAGCTGGGATGCACATTAGTCCAGTCTTGCCTTGCACAAAAATTGGTGGGATGTAAGGCTGCTGCAAGCAGCAGTTTGGGGTACAACAGAACATATACTTGAGGCACTGTGTCCCCATGCAAGATCGCAGCACACACATCCTGCCACATCACACAAACACATAAAATGGGTATCAGAATAGAGTTTTATCCCACTGTCTGACTCACACACCACCAAATGATTCAGATAAAGCCAAAGGTGTTCATAATCCCATGAAGTGTAATGAGGCATAGCCTATCGCTATCAGTATGTGAACTACCAGTTAAATATACATGCAGATGGAAAGGCAGAAAGGACTTCAAAGAAGAATCTGACAAGAGGATCGTGGGAAAAAAACAGAACTCAAAATGCCAGACTGCACAGCTTCTCTGTAAGGGTAATTTCTACGGTTTTGCCTTCAGTTGTATACATCTCTCATTGAAGAATCTGCGCACGTGTTTCAGGAGCAAGGAAAGCCTGAACTTCAGAGTATTTCAGTTTGTCTTTTCCAGTTTGATCTGCCGCCCTTCATGAAGCTACTTTGCTTCTTTTAATATCCAGCAGGTCCCAACATGTGACAAATCACGAAATGCACACTCAAAACCAAATGCTTCTGGTACATAGGAGCAGTTTGCAAAGATGTTAGCATAAACTTTCCAACTGTGCCTGGGGGCAGAATTTAAACTCTGGGTATTGCCCACTTCAAAATCATTTTAAATTATTTTAAAATTACTTCCAGGCTCTGGCAAAAATAAAAAAAGGCATGAGATATTTTCCTCATTTGGTCTTTCAGTCTTGGAGAAGACATTGTGTGATATGAGGGAATCACAGAGAGGGAATCAAGTTCCTCCTTTGCCACTGACTCTTGACCAATTCTCCTTTTCTCTCAGATTCAGTTTTCCCATGACAAAAATGTGTTTGAACATTAATTTATGGTAGTAAGCTCATTTTTATGGCTCAAGCCATAAAAATTAGTTTAGAAAGGCACATTAAATTAAATATCAGTAAAAACATTGTTCTCCTTCCTGAGGTATTCTAAGACTTACCTTAAGCCCTGGGGAGAGGATCTGTTGCTGATTTATCTGAATCACTGCAATAGCAATGACAAGAACTATGCTTAGAAAAAGTAACACTTGGGCAACAACACTTGGGGTTCTGGTGAGCATCCTGCAACAACAAAAAGGGAAAAAACACTTAAGGAATGTGAATGGATTCAGCGATTCTGTCTTAAAGCCTGAAGACCTGAATCAGCTGAGACTCATAAAATCTCATTACATCAACTAGATTATACTACACGAAAATTCTGTCTTCTCCTCAGGAGCTGCCTGGTGTTTTGCAACCACTAACTTCTTATTGTCTAGAAGGGCTGTGTCTGTATTGTCATGCTAATGATGCCAGATTTCACCCTTGGTCTGCTCATTTTCCACAGTGCCTACATGTAGATGCATGCTCACCATCTCCCACGCCTCAGGAAATGCAAGCATCGGGCAGGCAGGCTGGGGCTAGTGCCCCAACGATCCCATGTGATCCTACAACACAGACACAACCACAGCCATGTAGACACACGATGCAGGCTGCTGAGTGCAGCTGGTGTTTCTGCCAGAGATGCAAGGTCAGTGTCTATAAGAGATACAAGCTGCTTCAGCAAAAAAGAAAAAGAGGTTTTAAGAACATTGAAGTAGGCATCTGTCTACTAACTGCTCATGAAAAATGTGTGCATACTAATGTGGAACCTATTATTATCACTCTGCACTACATAAAAAATACAGTTTAACTCAAAGACTTTGTGATGAAAAGTTTTTAAATCTAAGTAAATCTATCATAGTCATGTTGGACAAACCCAAAGGTGACATGAAACATGCATACTAACGACAAGGCTATTTATATGTTCGTATCCTCTAGAAAAGTTTCCTAGAATTCAAATGTGGTTTAGGTTTCCTATCATTTCTGTTCATCCTTTAATTTTCTATGTCCCTGACCAGACAGCTCTTAACTTCAAGAAGCCATTCAGTACCTCTGAATACTGGCAATCCACATACCAAAAATCCTTATGCTCCACAGGGGTTGAGGAGGAAAGAGGCAGCTGGTGGGAGATGGCAAGCTTAGCAGTGTCAGAGGAAAACAAAGAGAACTTTCCTGCCTTTCTCATTTCAGAAAACATTTGTTTTGGCATAGAAATATCAACTTAACCTAGCATGATCTTTCCTGACTCCCAACTCCTAATTCTTCCATACTGACAGTAGAATATACCAGTGGCTGCTCAGCAATTCCAGGAATCGCCAATGCCAACCTGTCCTGAGGACAGGAGCTTAAAGGTGGTCTACAGTCCATGACCAGAGCACATTGGATGAGCCCCACTGTGCCTGCAACACATGGTCTTCCCCTTAGCTCCAACCAGAGCCAGAGGGAGAAGGCAGAACAAATGCTTCCTCACACAGTTTCCATTTTATAAACCCCATGGGTTTTTCAGCCTGTGTACCCATGGTCCAACATCTTTGTTCACATTCAAAAAAGAATGAAATTTTTTTCTTCATGTACTAGCTTCACACTGAGCTTTGCCCACTTCTACTTTTCTTCCTATTTCTTGCTATTTCTTTTGTGAAAGCTAACTCAGATTGGCTTTTGGAAACTCTTCGTTTCAGTCTGACACAACTCACTTCCAAACCGTCATTTTTACACTCGTTAACTCCCTTTTCTAAATCCATATGGGCTCCTTGTTAACTGCCTATCTATCCTTCCAGAACTTTCTTTCTTGCCTTGGTAATAGCTTTATTATCTTAATCATCAGTCAGTTTTAAGAGAAAATTACCAGCCACATTGGTGATTCATTTAATTCTATTAATTGTTTTACTATCCTGAGGCATTCAAACATCATGTTCACGATGTATAAATGGTAGAATGAAATCTTTCTTTTACTATTAGAAAATATGTGAACACCTACACTGCAACCTGCAGATGATGTCAGGGCATACTAATTAGAAGTATTTATACAGATCAATTCATTTTTGAAGAGAGACAGCAGATTTTTAACTACATTTAACTACATTTATGAATAACCATCTGGATAAAATACTTCAGGCAGTAAAGTCTTTTTCTTTAGCTTTCAGTTGTACAAGGATATATCCATAATTGTAAAGTGACTGAAAGGGAACTATGCTTGCAACCTAACATATACCAGTCACTCCAGGATCAAAGCACTGTTGTTCAGTGCTGGAAAAAATAAGTCATCATCAAAGAAAAAACACTCAGGGCAAATGACTCTGAAAAACTAAAGCATTACTAAAAAGGAAAGCAGTAACAACTCTTAGACTATTAACACTAAACTCATGACTGCTTAAATATTTTCTGCTGCATCTGTTTGTAAAGAGCAAAGAGAAATCTTGGTTTGTTGAATTTCTCATGTGCTTCCCTGGTACTGGGATTTGTCTTCATCATACATGATTTCTCTTTTCAAAAATGACAGGAAACATATAAGGTACGGGCAGATCCCTTAAAACATTCCTCATGCAATCTTGTCCCATTGGCAATGAAGACAGTTTCATCAGAGATAATTTGTAAACCGTGAATCTGTGTATCAAAAGGACACCTACAGTCCCCGCCCGTGTGAAGTCATCACACAGTTGACACCTTTGCTATCTTGCCACATAACTGGATCAGAAGCACAGGGCTGTGTTTACTTTCAGCTACACTCATCTAAGACTTACATACATACCAGGCAATACAGTCATACTTGCCCATTCAAGAAATTCCACAGAGATACCAGACAGGAGTTCATTCACTCCACATACTATACAGAGTTGTAAGGTAAGGAATTCTTGCTATCATTGCACACTTGTTGGCAAAAAACCAATTAAAAGACATTAATGGAGTATCAAAAAGCAGTTGCATTCCATTATTAAAACAACATCGTCCTGAAGCAAGAAATAGCATAAATACATATTTTCCATACCCATTTAAGTACGCTGGGCCACACAGGAGCACATTGGAAGGATCACTTTCTACACCTTACCTGCAAGCAAAAGGAATTTTCACCTGGAAAGGAAAATGGAAGCAACTTCTTCATGCCAACAACATTTTAACTAAGTTAAATGCACGCTTGTAAAAATGACTGTGCGTATTATATGCTGAAATTCCCTTTCCCAAGTTACTTGAAACATCAAGCCATTTACTTCAGATACAGACCTGTTTGTTCGTAGAGTGCGTATGCAAGCACCATATGTATCTTTCTTCACACTATAACCTGATGGATACAAACACGTTATCATTTCAGACGAGGTCGACTGGTGAATGTTTTAAGTGCTGGGAAAAAAACCCCAAAAAACAACAAAAGAACAAACCCAAAACACCACAGCATGTTAAACCCCACGATGAAAACCTTCGAGGAGGTTTCACACGCCTCCCTTCGGAGGAGAAATTAAGTAAAAATAAGCACATGGACCCAAAATTCCGGGTGGAGCTTTCCCTCAGGTCACTGCAGTCCTGGGTGGGAAACCTTCACACGACGATTATGAATTGCGAGAATACCCCAAGGTATCCCCCCAAAAGACGGCGGAGAGACAGAGCAACGCCCCCGCCTCGACGGCCGGGGTGGCAGGTGCCCACCCCCTCACCTCAGCCCGGTCCCCGATCCAGGGATCACCCGGTCCCCCCCCCGCCACATTCCCAACCTACCTCCGTCAGCGCCAGCAAGGTCTCACCGCCGCTCCCACGCCGAAGATGCAGCTTGAGCTCGACCGCGACCGCCGGGAGGCGGTGGCGGCTGCGAGCGAGCTCTCTACCCGCCGTTGGGGGGGAGCTGGGTGGAGAGTCCACTGGGTGGTTGCCGCGCCCTCTTGTGCTACCTGATCTCTCAACTTATAGAGTAAAACAAACACATAAGCGAAAACGAATAAAGGAAAAAAACAAAACGTCGGAGGTTAAAAAAAAAACACAAAATTCGGCTGAATCTGTGACTGAAGCAGAGGGAGGATGATCTGGGCGCGGGCGGTACGCTGTCGTTAGGCCCGAGTCCCCACGGGAGATATTGCTGGAGCGGGGAGGCGGAGGGTGCTAAAGCTATGCTCGCCGAGGGATGCGCTGGGGGAAGGCGAGGGCTGGGAGAGAGGGCCCGAGGGGTGCTTGTACTTACCTGGTCCAGCCCGGCTCACGCCAACCGAGCCTGCCTCCCTGCCCTTCCCCAACCAAATCGGGTCTGTCTACCCTGCTTTCCGGAAACTCCGATTAGGATTTGGCGGCAGCTGGTGCGGCAGGGTGTTGCTGGCCTTCCCTAAATCACATTCCTCAGTTCCCTCCCAAAGCGAGGGCAGAAGGGGGTTTATCTAGAGGTGACACTGGGGGTCAAAGAATCCCTGCCTTTTCTAAAATGAACAGGTGCTTTCTCAGGAGGTCTTTTCTCAGCCCCCAGAAATTAGTAGCCTGCCACTCTCAGGGCTACCTGAGAGTTTGAGTGTACTGGCATTACTTATTTTCTAGTTTTGCTGGAGTTCTTGCCAAACCTAGGCTGTTCAGTGGAGCTAGCACATGTCCAGAAACATATGTAAAAGCAGTGTCACAGATCCTGCCCTGTCCAACCTGTGTGATCAGCTGCAGCCAAGGATCATCCTACAGCCTGCAGGATGGGTTTACCAGGGACATGAGCTCTGGAATCATAGTGAGATACTTCAACTGCTTTGCCACCATTTGCTCATTGTTCAAGAATTCAGATTTACATAATGTAAAAACCTTTTGATTCCTTTTCTCATAATGACCTTGATGAATCTTAATGAACAGTATCTTTGGTTTTTGAATAAAGAAAGAAGAATAAGAAACCAGCTGCAGCCTTGTGAACCATCTGTAAGCATCCTTTCATAATCTACTCATTTTGGGGGTGGAGGGTTGTCATTTTGGGGGTTGTCATCATTTTGATGACAACACATTATTAAAAGCTGGTTTAATGATGATCTTGGGGAATCAGCTCAGCTATTTCTAGCACGAGAAGACAAAGCCTTCCATTGCTCCTGATTCGCTGTCTGTTGCATATAAATTCTTTTTTTTTTCTGTATCATTTGCATTCCTGAGTTCCATTCCATTTCTTCTCCCATCCAAATGTATTTGTTTTAGGGCACTTAGTTCAACCAACTGTATGGTCAGTCACCTCAATCTGCTCAGGTCAGGTGTCCATTTAAAGTGACAAGTTAGCTGGATTGCTTACCCCACAGAAAAGCATATTATTCTTATACAATCAAAGATGAACATTTTGAAATAGAAAATAAAATGTCAACCAGTCCTACACAAGTGACTAAAATGTAATGCTTGCAAAGAAAGCAAACCCTGTCTTGTATACCATCTGCTTCTATAAAAGCAGACATACAAGATTTTTTTTCTTTCTGCAACATTTCCAAGAGCTGGGCTCTTGAACAAGCTTCTCTTCTTGTGACATTTACTGTCATGCTAAAACCATAATAGCAGCATAAGTGATATGGGCTATAAAATCCCCTAACTGCTTCAAAGTCCAAAACATTGCTTCTAAATCAGACTATGGGCAAGGTTCCCCTCCAGGCCTGCCCAGTGTCTGTGGCATGGTAACTGGTTTCATTGGTTCCTCTGCTTTAACCCAGGGGACCCACCTTAGATCCACTATTTTATATTCTTTTTTTCCTAAGCCTACCTCTTTGGCTTTTCTTCAGTTTTCTCCTCAGCCCCGTCCTCCTTTTTATAGTTCCCTTCATCTCATTCACAATCCCGCTCCCAAGGTATAGATTTAACCGGGTGCCATTTTCCCAACCTTTGCCAAGCCTGTGGAACACATATCTCTCCATCATTTTCTTTGCTGCAGCACCTTTTTCTTCTCCCCCTACAAGTATCCTTGTTCAAATGCATTTAGTGTAACTAACTGTATTGATTTGTTTTGCTTGGACAGAATCTACCCCAAACTGTCCATTGAGCTTGAATATATGGAGTTAAAAAACAATGACTAATATTGGCAGATTCATATATGAATACTAGTTGCTATGATCATCAGTGAGTTTCTAGAAACTAAAATATTATGGATATGAATAAAGTGTTTGTTACAGCCACATTTCTGCAATGCATTTATGGTATCACATTTACACAGGATACACAGCAGATACTGCCCCATTTCCCTATAAGTGACATCAGCAACATCAGCAAAGGGGATGGATGATTATGCATGCCAAGAGACCACAGAACTGCATCTGCTCCTTGTGTAATGCTCATACAGCTTTGGATGCTAGAATATCAAAAGACCTCAAAATATCCTCTGAAGAGACAGCAAAGAGTGAAACAAAGAGAAATCTTAATATAAAAAAATGGAGGTAAAAGACTCTGGTGGCTGCAATAAGATGTCTGCTTTCTTGCATGGTGCTTTGCCAGTTCATAGGAACAAGATCCACCCCTCGTTTCTGTGCATTCTTTGCAAGGTCCAGTAAACAAAGGGCTTCTCCTCTCCATCCTGAGCTTTCATACCTTTTTCACTATTTGTATTGATGTCAGCAGATTGTTGTGATGCCCTTTAGCTCAACTCATCACTTCATCAATCTTCTTGGACACTTTCTTCCTGAGACTTTTCATCCATGTTGACTAAGACCCCTTCTTCAGTTTCTGCTCCCAAAGAGCTCCTATCTTCATGTCCACCTCTTCTCCTCAGGGTCAACTGTGAGAACTGGCAATGCAGGCAGAGCTGTCTACAGAATTTGGGGCCCTCTGGGCCAGCATGAGTCAGGACAGTTAAATTAAATTAAGTTTCTAGGCCATTTTTGTGACAAACATTTTATTTCAAGGGAAAAAGCACTTTTTCTATTTGTTTCAGACTAACATGCTACATATTATGTGTCCAAAGAATAGCAGTGAAACTGTTAAAGGGTCTAGAGCACAAGTCCTATGAGGAGCAGCTGTGGGAGCTGGTTGAATCCCCATCCCTGGAGGTATTTAAAAGATATGCAAATGCAGTGCTTAGGGACATGGTTTAGTAGTGGACTTGGCAGAGCTGAGTTAATGGTTAGACTCAATGATATTAAAGGCCTTTTCCAACCTAAGTGATTCTATGATTATGGCAGCATACAGTGTTAATTGCCAAATTTAGGAAGAGAGCTCCCTAGGCTTTCAAACAAGGAAGTCACAAACCACATGTGAACTGTGCATTTAGAAGACTGTCAGATGTGATTCTCCTCAGAGATCAAGAGTGCAGTTTTTTGTTTGTTTTACAACGTTGCAAAACTGATTTTTAATAAAGTATCTGCTACCCTATAGTTTTCTATCATTACTGACCAACACGCCCCCTTAAAGTAAATTCACAGCCTAAGGCATGAGAAAATCAGTTTGTGTAATGCTCCTACCTTCTCATACATTGCTCATGAGAAATTCTCTTTGTTTTGGGTAATGACTGGATATAAACATTGCTTTTTCTCTTTCAGCATTTCACTGATGGCTTCTTTGAAATACCTTAGACAGCTATTTGTTGGTTTATGTTTTTATTCCATTACTGGAGCAATAAAGCTAATAATGTGACTTCAGTTTCTGAATCTTCTGCCTCATACATATGATTCGGTGGTAATAACAGTTTTCAGGTCCACATCATCTTGTGAAGCCTTGAAACAAATAAGAATTTAATTATAAAGCTGAACCAAAATATTTTCTAATTTATTTATTTCCCTTCCTGAGACCTAAAGCTTTATACCTTCCTTCTCTTGTCCTAAGAATCAAGAGCTGCATTAATCAATTAAAAACCCTCAGGAGCAGCCTTCCTCACATGGTTATGAGCCAGCACAAGTTGTAGGCACGTAACTAGGGCATTGGCAGATTGCTGGGACAAGCAGAAAAAGACAGCCTCTTTGTCTGCTTTGCTATGCCCGAGTTTTAGAAAGCCAAACTAGCTGGTGTGGCAAGAGAGGGTGTGGGCCATCCATCCTCTGCTGCTGAAATTAGAGGCACTTTCCAGGAGTAACTGTGACTGCTCCCATCCTTCTTGCTTCCCGACCTTCAGCTGCAAGCCAAGCTCATGGAGTTTTACAGCAAACTCATTCCATTTTCTTTAGCTGTGCCTGCAAACATACGTTATGTCCTGGCATATATTCCATTGTCATAAAACTGGACACAAGAATCTGATAAAGAAATACTACTCTCTTACAAGAAATTTGCTGTTGTACTCAAAGAAATGCACCATCTCCAGTGAATGGGGATAAATTACAGAAACTACTCCTTGGGACTTACTTAATCCTTTAAAAATTGCTATGTGAAAAACCGCGCCACATGGAATATTTCCGTGTGGTTGACAACTCTAAATGAATGTTTCACTTTTCATGGCTCAGAAGCAATTGCTGAAAAATTGCTAGATCAGAAGAAGAGATTCATCCCCTATGTTTTGTAAAAGTATGAAGCAGTCCTTGTAGCAACATTTCTGTCA